TTCTGTGAAGTTTTTCTTTGCTTCTTGAGTTCTAAGTTATTATATTTCTGTTGTAATATTTTCAGGCCTCTAAAGGTCTGGTAGTACTTCGAGACTTCTCTCGTAATGATTATGTTTCGTATATCTTTCGTTGTTTTGTTATCTTGGCTTTGTTTGTTTGTTTGAAGTTAAGCACAAAGTTACACAGTGGGCTGTCTGTGCTCTGCCCACACGGGTATCGAAACGCGGTTTCTAGTGTTGTAAGGCCACAGAGATACCGCTGCGCCACTGGGGGCAGTGTTTGCTTATTTGAAGTTAAGTACAAAGCTATACAATGGGCTGTCTGTGCTCTGCCCACCACGGGTATCGAAACCCGGTTTTTAGCGTTGTAAGACCGCAGACATAATGCTGAAATGTGGTACTATACAATGACAAAAAGCAACTTGTAGTGAACTATGAAAAGCTTAAATCCCAACATTAAATTACATGTTTATTAAATCCGTTAGAATAAAAGCTCAAAGTGTAATGTATCTATTACGTGATAGTATAATGTTTCCTTTCATGTACAGTTAAAAAGCCGATAAAGTTCACAGCTCAACATTAACACGAATCATTCTTAGAGGATATATTTTTGTAATGTTTTTTTTTCTTTTAAAAGTGACAAGATTTGACAAAATAGAGATGAAGCTTATAAACCTCTTATGCATATTTAGATTAAATGTCTTAATATCTGTTACTTTTAGATATCCTGTTACATTTTTAATAAGTTGGTTTGAATTTTACACAGGATACTTGAAGAAAAACCCTGGCTATTTTCTGCCTGTTCGCTGTACTGAATTTGTAGTGGGAAAGACAAATTCATAATTTTTCGCACTGTTCGCCTCGATAAGGCGGTGCAAGCAGAGCGAGTTACATATTTCTATTATTTCAGTAAAGAAACTCTATATTTCTCCAAATTATCCAATTAATGTTTGAGAAATATGTTCTTATGTCGTCCAATGGTTGAATAGTTTTCCCTTCATGGTCATCATGGATGCTAGCTACAAAGTCAACAGTCAAGTATGTGAGTGGTTTCTTATATGGTTGAACGTTTTTAACCTTCTTAGATGTAAGTTACAATGTCAACCATCAAGTGTTTTTGAATGATTTTTCTTATGGTTAAACAGTTTTTGAAATTATTTTGGCTTTCGTGGACGTAAGCTATAAGGTCAATCATCGAGAGGTTGAAATGACTACTTCCGAATGATATTTTTAATAACAGTTGCACCCGATAGGGGAAACTGCAGGTCGGTGAGGTGTAAAGTCGTATAAAAATACGATTAAAGAGTATTTACGTTTCTAAAAGGTCTCAAAAACCAATTCTGTCAAGCATGGGCACTTGTGCTTCTGTATTATTCAGAATAACTGTTGTATTAAGGCGAATAATTAAGGTTGATAAACTCTGAAAAGTTTGTCCTAAACTTTCATGGCCCCCGTGATTACAGATTTTTGTAATGGCATGTACAAAATACCCCACCCTCCTCCCCGAAAGTTATGTACGAAAACAGCAGAACTAGGCTGTTCACAGAGAGGAACAACATACAGTAGAACGTTTCGAATGATATGTGTCGTTTCTTTTCTGTCTTCCGTATTTGCTTTCAGTATTTTTCAATTTTTTGTAACAGATTTTTTTTTTCATGATACACGCATATTAAACAGACGTCAGCCAGATGAGCCCGGTATTGGACAAAAGATCCTCTTCGGCACTGGCTATGACAAATATAGTGTGGTTGAAATAATATATTCTCCTTTGCTCTTACTCTTAGACAGGGAGGCAAAAAATTGTGTAGAAACTGCTGGTGCTTTGGGTTAGCGTGGAATTGTTCAGAAACTGCTCAAGAATAGTTTTAAAATCTTTTCAGTACGAGAAATATGCCCAAGAATGTTTTTAAAACTTTTCAACAATTGTTTATCAACTTTAATATATGCAAGTAAAACGAATGGGAATTCTTTATTAACAATGACAAAATACATATAATGTAACCCAGAAAAACTGATTGAAGTTACAAAAATACGGACGGATAATATATGAAACATAAATAACAAAAAAAAAATCACAGTGAATTTCATTCCTATCCATACATGTAACTTTCTTCAAGTTTAAACCCTGATAATATTTTTGGAGGGAAAGTTCAAATATTTACATGGGCATCAATGTAAATTGACAATATATATATATATATCAATAAACAAAAAGGTCTAAACCTAACGCTATAACATCAACAATAGTAGCTTGACAGCCGAACTGACTTTATTAAGCTATGATCTTCGTTTGCCTTTTTGTTGACCTATTACGTTTGCATGGATTCCTTTACTTTCCAAATAAGATCTTAAATCTGTTTGAAGAAATAATTTCGTCGCACTCATCTAAGGACCTTCCAAGATGTTTTAAGTATAGTCGTTCACAGAGCTGCATTGTCACTCGTGCGAGTTTTTATCACCTTGTGAACACCATTTAAAGGCCTAATGCCTAACAAGGATAAATAAGTGAACACACGAATACCAGGCATTGTTTATAAATATATGATAATTAAAGCAAAAGTTACCATAAACAACAGAAGTTTGATACTAGATGTTTTGGATATTTCAGAACCCATCTTCAAACGTTATCTTATATAGGAAAAATACGTATTAAAGACGATTTTTATAAACTTAAATATTGAGTATTATTATTCGTCAACAAAAATGCCAATAGTGCTTCTCGAATGCCGGAACTCTTGGGCTTTACTATTTATTAAGGACGGAACTTTACACGACTCTTAAACTATGACAGTCGGCTTGTAAACGTTAAACTTCGAGTATTGCCATTTTCTGATTTAAAGAGCCGATCTTATACATTTCAACCATACTATACAAAGTAGTTTGCACAGCAACAGAACTGATTATTCAATTGGGATAAAAAAGTAGTCTAAGGCGAGATTTATTATGTAAAGAGGAAAGGCAAAAAACAAAACAAAACACCCGGTCATAATTTTCATTTCTTCACAATAAATTTCTAACTTCGCATTAGGTCTGCCTAATTAAACTATAGTTCATACGGAAGAAAGGTCTGCCTAACTAAACTATAGTTCATACGGAAGAAAGGTCTGCCTAATTAAACTATAGTTCATACGGAAGAAAGGTCTGCCTAATTAAACTACTGTTCGTACCGAAGAAAGGTCTGCCTAAGTAAACTACTGTTCGTTCTGAAGAAAGGGTCTGCCTAATTAAACTACTGTTCGTTCTGAAGAAAGGTCTACCTAATTAAACTAATGTTCGTACGGAAGAAAGGTCTGCCTAATTAAACTAATGTTCGTACTGAAGAAAGGGTCTACATAATTAAACTAATGTTCGTACAGAAGAAAGGTCTGCCTAATTAAACTAATGTTCGTACGGAAGAATTTGGTTTATGTGTCTTGAGTTATTAAACTGTATATTTGTGTACAAAAGTTATCAAACCAATGTATGTTCTTCATGTGAGAGGTTAATGCAAGATTCGGGGAAGCAATAGATGATCGGTTTAGCCTATCTTAAGATCGATTTACAATAGAAAGTCCGAGAAAAAAAACGGACACCTCGGGGGTCAACGAGCAGCTTAGTTTAAACACATGACATATCGTTTAGATGTGACGATTTTTAAACTATGCGGTCAACTACTCCTCTTCTTTAATCGAATTAGTATGCTCCAGTAGTTTGAATTCCATTTGCAATTTAAGTAATAAAGACTATCAAATACCACACTGTGCTGCTAAGAATAAACATTTTATTCAGTTTGATTTCTGTGGTTACTTCAATATATCAAATTTGGGCAAAGCTAGATCAGAAGTATATCTGATGAAACTTGATTGAATGGACGGCAAGAGCCTGTTGTAGAAACACAATGTAGAGGACAATGTTTCGAAAGTCTTCCGCCTTTCGTCTTCAGGTCTGAAGACTTTCGAAACGTCGTCCTCTACACTTGTGTTTCTACAACAGGCATTTCCCGTCCATTCAACCAAGTTTCATCATGAATACTCTGCCTAAATAATCTATTAAAGAAAAAGTATAGTTGTATAGCACATGCCGATGCTTCAGACTGTTAGGACAGTGGTAGCCATGAACCCCTTAAAGAACCAAAGACTATCTCATGAACCCACATACTCAGATAGTCCTATCTGTATAAGCTGAGGTTGTAGTGTATAAAAGCGGAAATGTCGTAAATAAGTATGTTGGTTTAATAGAATTTTTCTATATAACATTGCTTTCATGTAATCGATCATTGTGTCGTTTCTTAATATATAACATCGATATTTACAGTCGCAAACCCCCTTTAGAATGCCCATAGACCCTAAGATCTGCGGACCACAGTGTGAGAATCACGGTTAGGAACTTTCTCATTAGTACTATGTTACTCTTTAACAAAATGTAATTATAAAGCTGAACACACAGACCAACACTAAGTAACTTGGAGATAATGTACACCTCGCTCACAAGTCATGTAAAATCGTTAATTATACTGTTTTTAGAATTTTCATGCAAAGCTACACAAGGGTTATCTTCTCATAGTCGTCCGTAATATTGAACTGAAAGCTTTAGAGGGAAGACAACTAGTCAACAGCACCCACCGCTAAATCTTGAACTACACTAGTCTAACGGGCTAGTTGGATTTGACTGTCACTCTTATAGTACATCTCACGACCTCAAAGTTAGGAGAGCGTTTTTTTTTGCAACAGCGGAAAGTAAACCTGAAACCCTAGGCTCAGGCACGCTAACCTGCCCTCAAGACATGTAAAATGGGAGCGGTTTCTGCAGTTTGAAAATTTTAATTACAAGTGTATTTGAGCCGTAGGTTAATTAAGCAGTATTTTGATACTCAATAAAAAATTTATTCAGTACTGATGCCAACATTGATAAAAGCTTCAAAACAAATTATTTTGAATGATAAATTCTGGTATTGGATTAAGTAGTATGATATAATCTGATAATGAGTATTAACAACTAATTTTGGTTGCGGTTTTCTTTAGGTGAGAAACCCTACAAATGTACCTGGGACGGCTGTGAATGGCGGTTTGCTCGATCAGACGAACTGACTCGTCATTATCGAAAACACACGGGATGCAAACCTTTCAAGTGTAACCATTGCGAACGGTGCTTTTCTCGGTCAGACCACCTAGCTCTACACCTAAAGAAGCACCAGTAGCAGAGGCTTCCATAAAAAATAAACCAAATATTTTGTTTTTTTAATAACAGCGCCCTCTTCCAGTTCACGTGAACACCAAACGTAACATTGTAAAAATTCTATTTTAGCCACTCTTTACTTTCTTACCTCAACTCTCTTAAAAGATATAAAAAGGTAAAATTCGATAATTGTAATTAGATGAATCAATGGAAGGATTAAAGTTTCATCATTAAAGGTAATACTGTGTAAAATGAGTAATAAAAATCTCTAATTCCAGAAACAATAGAAAAAAATTACGCGTTTAAACTTTGCAGCAGTAAGATCTTTGTGGTACTTTTGTTATGAAATTTGTGCTAGTTAATTTTTATTGCAACTAAAACAATTTGTTCGCTATTAGATCCTACGCTAATGGTTTTGTTAGAATATCTATTTTTGAAATGTTGGATGATAATTTGATAAGTAACAATTTCAATATACCTACATATATACCATAATAGTTCTACTTCATATTAGTCATTATGTGATTCTTTTTTTACATTTGGTTTCAGGAACTTCAGTATTTCAAAGAAAACATAATTTATTCCAAATTAATATATTAAATACGGATACTACATATGAGTGTACTCATTTTTTTGTACTGTGAAAGTAACTTTAAAATATACAGTCATGCTCATCAAGTGATACAGTGAGGCGAGACTTCTACCTGCCAGTCAGTGGATGAAGTGGATCTGCTTATCATATTGTTCTACCTGCTTATCATATTGTTTGCATATGAATCCTCAGAAATATGTAGTATTTGGATTTCTGTTTCTAAAAAAAAAACACTGTGGGAAATAATCTCCCGAAAATTAAACTTCATATTAAAATTTAAATATATGTATGTTTTTAATGTCGTCGCTTAAAGTTAATTGCTAATTTAAATAATTAACAGCCAAAAACGTTTTAAGTTGAACATTCAAGTGATGCACGTTATAGAGGGCTCTGAGGATGTCGTCCAGAAAAGTGATGTTATATGCTATTCTTTCTAGTATAGCTTATGCCTGTGGTGGTTGTATGATAATGAGGAAACAGAATTCTTAGTTGTGTTAAATGTACACTTTTCCGAAGTGTTAAAATCATTTGAAAGTATTGTCTGCCTAATCAAGCTTTTGTCTTCGTCCAGCATTACGTGGACCAAAATGAGGAGACTGCATTTATATACTAAGGTGATTTTATGACTTTTAGCTTTTCTTGAAATAGAAAAAAAAAGAAAAAATACGGCTTTTTGTGCCATTTAAAGGATTTTTTTCAATAACATAAAGGATTTTGGGTGCACACCTTTTGATACAATGAATACTTTTTTATGGAGTTAACCCTAATTAAATGAATAAAAAAGTGGGCTGCTGTCACTCATTTACTTAATTATTTCGACCTTCAGTGCCTTCTGTGGGTCAGAACGTGTTATCGTGCTTTTATCAATATGTTTCATTCAAACCAATTTCTTGGTGCACCAGCCTACAGTCACGTGACATCTGTGATTTTTTATTTTATTTTTTTTTTTGTTTTTGTAAATAGGCGCGCTATGGCTTGATTTCTTACATTCTTCACTAGTGTCTTGTCATCAGTTTCGCCCAAAGTTGATTTGTATTGTTTAAGATGTGGCTTTAAGAATAAAGATAAAATTGTATAAACATACTGTCGTTTTTTTCTTCCCCCCCCCCAGTGGCACAGCGGTATGTCTGCGGACTTACACCGCTATAAACCGGGTTTCGATACCGGTGGTGGGCAGAGCACAGATAGCCCTTGTGTAGCTTTGTGCATAATTAAAAAACAGAAAAACAAACAAATCGTTTTTTTTTCTTACATTTATTTACAGGCAAGCTGAGGTACCCGTCCTTTATCCGGGTTACGAACTTAAAAATATAATGTGGGGGTGAATGCTCTGATAAATAACACAAAAATCCTAACTTTCACACAGTTTATTTATAACATAACATATTATTACTGTAATCATTAGTACCTCACTAAAACTTTTGTATAAACTTTGAGAACTCAACATTTATATAATTAAAACATGGTATAGACTGTGCGATGTTTAGGGTGACTTTGTATTAAAGAGATAGCGGCCAAAGTAGTGGCGCTAGGAGTACTTTTTGTTACCCGCTTTCAACACCCAACTCTTAATGTCTTTCCACAGTGTTTCACGTGATTAATTAATTGACGGTCATTGGCTACAGACGTGTCTTACAGATCGAAGTTGAAAGATCACGGGTCAAAGTAGGAAGTGGGTATAACTCAAGAAAGGGCTCTTCATATCAGCCTTTTGATAGCTGTTGGAGGAGAAACTTCACCTGAGTTTATGTATTATTGCAAGAGTGGCTGCCATTTTTATTGCAGTATTTCATGGACAGTGTTAGCGCTCTCTCCGAGATATATAAGACATTTGTGTGCCCTTTCCTCACGCTTAGTGTATGTTGTTATCTGGAAAAATTTAATAAAATATGTTTGTATGGACGTGGCGCCATCTATGAATATAGTTAACGTTAAGTTACATCAAAGACAATAAATGCTAAATATCAGCAATAATAGTAGGTGGAGGAGGTTGTTAGCCCACTATTAACATACCCCTTGTTCCAAACTATCATCTCATAAAGTTTGGTTGAGACTGGCCCTGCAACCTAGGAGTAATTAGATAACAGACAAACAGAGAGACGCTCAGATGTTTGTGCCTTATATAAATAAATCTTGTTTTTTTACACTTTCTGCCATTCAAATATTATGCCACTTTTTCATTGTGTTCCCAATTTTCAACAAACCACTCAACGCATTTATCTACACATACTACAATTATGAGCTCTCTGGTGTTAGCTGTCTTACCAGCAAACAGAACCCACACCGTCTGCTTGACTTAGTGAGTCTGTAATATCTTCATTTCAACAATGTTTTTAACTTTTTAAAAGAAACATAACAAAATATGCCACTTTTATTAATCTTGTACATTAACAAATTTGGCGTTTTCTACCTTGAGAAAACAATAACATCTGTTTGAGCACTATAAATGTTTTACGGTTTAGTACCTTACTATACCACAAGGACACTCCACCTTTTAAAAGTACATCATTTGGCAATAAAACCAATGTTATTAGCTAGGATATGCTTTATTTTGAAATAATTTTTAATCTATAATATTGAATTATTAATGAAAAACATCTAAAACAAGAAAGTTGTTTTTAATTAGTTACGATGTAATGCATTATCAGAGATCACATACTTTGCTCATATCAACTTAGGAACCTAAAAAGAATATTAGTCTTTTGGAGCTAAACTCTTGCTTGATTGTTTGTTTTGAAAAATCGATTTCTACCAACAGTCTGAACTTAGATTTATGGGAAAACACAAAAAAGCCACTCTAGAAACACCATCTCATTAAACCCAGTTTTATGTTTCAAACTAATACTTTACCAATCTTCCGATGCAACAATCCAACAGAAGTGGAGTAAATCTTAAAGGTATTGTTTGCACCACTGATAAAGACATTCATTAGTCGAGCTTTAGGAAATCTATCCGTTCTTAACTTATAGAATTTTCTTTGATATGTGAATTGATTGGTTAAGTCCTCCTTCCTGGTCTACGATCGTTAAGAACCGCTATCCGGCTCAGCAGAAGAATCTGTCATTTATCTAGTACAAGAAAAAAATGTTGTCCACCAGATAAGAATAGTTAGGCTTTTAGCCGACAGAGTATTCATTATAATCCTCTTTATTTGATAAATCAATCATTAAATAATATTGCCTCGAACTATATGACATTGATTTTTGTTTTAAATGATCATTTCATCTGAACTAGTTAGAGACAGTAATAAAAAAATTAGCTATTATTATTAAGCTGAAACTAACTTATCTTTGAAAATTTGCCGTTCAATTTCCAATTGTCAGAATGAGAGAATGGGTAATCATATTAGCGACTGATCACGGTACCATTGAGATATCAGCAGTTTTACTCAGAATGATACGATCCGTATAATCGGCCATTCGCCTATAAATTAAACAATTAATATTCAGTGGTTCGCTTGACAGTTTCTGTTTCTAGGACTACTTGTTTGCACAGTTGAGAGTTTAATTACACGTCATTTATCTTTCACTTTTCCACATATCCAGTAACACGGTCTGTAGTTCCCAGAACCTCTATTTGGAACTAACTAACTACCCAAAGTTTCGTTGAAAAATAATTTCATATGAATTGTATTTTGGTAATATTTATATGCTGTTTTCAGATGGTATTTAACATTTACGTGATTGTATGTTTCGGAAATTCGTGGAAATTACACAAAGGTTATATGCTCTAGCCATCCACTTGAATTAATAGACTAGAGGAAGACAGCTATTCAACAGTACCCACCGCCGGCTCTTGAGCTACTCTAATCGAATAGTGGGATTTAACTGTCGCTCTTATAATTCACACACGACCCCAAAATACAGAGCGCGTTTTTGTGGCAAAGCAACACGAACCATGAACTATCAGATTGGCGTTCTACAAACTAACCACTAGACAACGCCAGACCAAACATGCACATGAAAATTAAAAAACTTAAAAGAATGCTCTAAAAAATGTCTAAGATTCACTGCGCAATTCCAATAAACAGTCTCCGCACTCTCAGCTGTGAGTTTGTTGCAAGAGTGACAATCAATTCCGCTATTGAAACACATCAGAGTCAGTTCTATAAGAACAAATAGTGAAGCAAACCAGAATCGATTCTAAGGAACAGGGGCGCTTTTGACTGGTTGTTTTTCCTTTAATCAATAGTTAAAAATTAAAGAAACTACACTACCTGAATTCTGGTTGTGAAAAAAATATATATGTTTAATGTATTAAAATCCAAAATCAGGTGGTCTAAAATATAAAATAGCTATAATAAATACATCACTAAAAATATTTTTTTTAAATATCCCAAAGATTCGAGAGCTTACCAGCTCTCGTCACTGGGGGTATATCAGTGCACATTAGGGGTATATTAATGCAGCTTGATTAATTAAACTAAGTCCCATGATAAATTACATCTTAGGTGACGTCAATAACTAAACTTATTAAAAATGTTGAGAAGGAAACAATATAAAGGGGGTAATATGATTTCCACGTCACAATTCAAGATATTATTACATATTTTTATTTGTTGTTTTTTTGTTGGTCGGCGGTACGTTTACGGACTTGCAGTGCGAAAATCCGACGCTCGATTTTCCGTGGCGGACAGAGCGCATGTGTGTAGCACTGGGTTAAAAAAACAACAAAGCTACATATTAGCTTCCTTCACCATTTGTGTACTACATACTTAATAATAAAATTAAATAGGTGTGCAATTTGACTAAATTTTTGAGCGGCAAATTATGTACTCATTTTTGACCTTGGTGAAAGCCAGACAGATCCGCTGAAAGCCTACAAGTAAAAGTAAACTCTCAGGGCATTATGGGCTTTCTTTTTTAAGCTCTTGTAATACACTTTAACTGCCTTACCTTAAACGTTTTGAAAGTTATTTTAAGAAGACTGCACTCCTCCGTATTTTTTCTCTTGAAACCCCGGAAAACATGCACATATTTGTTTAAAATGAGTCAAATCTCTGCGAGGGTTTTCAGTAGTATTCTTTCTCCAAGAAAATTGTTGTAAGACAGAGGAAGTGGTTCGGAAGTGGGGAGACGTAGTAGTCGAGTCGAGAAACTTGGTAGAAATGGCAAAGCAGTTGCGTCACTTCTTGTTCAAAACAGTCCATTTCACAGTAGAGACGTGGTCAAGATTTTTACTGCCAGCTTTCCTTATCCTAACCCTAGTATAAACCGGAAG